TTCTCCCGAATCTAGTGCCATGTATATCCCTAAATCAATCCCCAAATCCCCAATTCAAAGTAACATCCCAAATCTTAAGTTATTATAAACATAAATCAAATACATCACAAATCCTTAAAAAAGTGCACTCAAATCAAATACATCACAAATCCTAAAAAATACACACAAATCAAATACATCACAGATTATGTCACGCCCAGAAGTTTCCCCCTTTTCTTGTTTTAAAAATTGGTTAAATAAATTGCCCGAAGAAATTATCTTAATTAACCTAGAGCTAAATCCCTAGTTAATAAATGCAATTAATAATCGGAAATAGCGTGGTGGAATTTTTCTTGAGTTCCCCATGCTCCAATGCATTAACAAGATTTTTAGTGGAATTTTCACAGCCCTGGAAATAATTTTAACCAATTAAAAATCACCAAAGTGCAATTTTTTAATCCCAGGAAAATCCTTTTCCTCGTTTTCTTTTCTTTTCCTTCCTTTTTCTCTAGATGGGCCGTCGGCCCATCTCTCTCCCCGCGCTCGGCGCCACTTCCTGGGCCGGCCCGCTCCTCCTTTCCCCTCCCCGAAGTCCTCCCTCCCTCCCTTTCTCTTTCTGGCGCCGACAGGTGGGGCCCACCTGTCGGTCGTCCCCTACCTCCGGTCGTTGGAGCCGGAGCTCCAACCGCCCGCGCCGCCGCCTTCTCCGCTCCACGTCGCGCCTCCACTCCGCGCCCGCACCTCGCGCCCACGTCGCCGCCCTCTCCCCGCATCTCCCGCGCGCGCGCGCCCGCAAGTGGTGGGGGATTTGAAATCCCCCAACACCCTCTCTCTCTCCTCCACCTCTCCACGTCGCCGGCCAAATAGGGGCCATCCCCGGCCGTTTCCGCCCCTCCCTCGCCCATAAAAACCCTCACTCGAGCTCTCTCTCTCATTTCCCCCATTCACCGTCCTCTCCCACGCCCTCTACCGCCGTCGCGCCGCGCTCGCCGAGCTCCGCCGCCGCCGCCCATCTCCGGCCGCGTGCCGTCGCCACTAGGGCCGCCGCCGCGCCAAGCCGCCGCCGCCGCTAGCTCCGCCGCCGTGTGGGCCATCTCGGCCATCGCCTCGCGTCGCCGGAACCCCACCGGGACCCCATCTCCCTCGCGAGCCGGTGAGCTATCCATTCCCCTCCGTCTCCAGCCAGCCACTTTGGTCGTCGCGGTCGCCTTCTCCATCCCTAACTCCTCTCCTCCCCTTCTCTAGGTGTCGCCGCCGCTCGTCCGCCCCTCCTCTCGTCGGGTCGTCGTCGCCGCCTTCGTCTTCCGCTCCGGCCACCGTGTCGTCGGTGAGTCCTCCCTCCCCCTCCTTTCCTCACCTTCCCGCGAGCGCCGGCCACGCCGCTGCTCCGGCCATGCGCCGCCGCCTTTCGGCCGTCGCCGACGCTTCCCGCACCGCCGGTCACCGCCGTCGGTGGCCGTGCCTCGCCGTCGCCTCGCCTTGGTCGGCCGGTCGGCCTTGAGGCCGAGCCGAGCCCGGCCGACGCCACCCTCGCCTCCCCTTTGAGCCACCGCCTGGTGGGGCCCACCTGCCAGGCGCCACCTCCTTCCCTTTTGAGCCGCTGACCTGTGGGGCCCACGTGCCGGCGCCCCCTTCCTCTCCTCTTTGAGAAGCTGACCCATGGGCCCCGCCTGTCGGCAGCCGCCCCCCCCCCTTGGATGACGTCAGCCCTGGGTATTATTGCGCAATAATTAATTAAGGACTTTTTCTTTATTAGTAAAAACACAGTTTATCTTCTAAAATTCATAAGTAATTCATCCGAGCTCCGTTTTAAGTCCATTCAAGTCTCAGTAAATCAAGAAAAATGCAAATAATCCATTAAAAATGGTTTTGTTTCCTGTTTCAGTAGTCTTATACCATGTTTTGCTTGTGTGCTTTGTTTGTCGCGTAGGTTTCGGCCGTTTCGTCGATCCGCGGTTTCTCGAAGGCGTTGCTGACGTCTCGTCAATGTGAGAGCAAGGCAAGTCATGCTTTACATTTGATCATATTGTACCCAATTTACAAACACCCTGCATTTCTATTAAATGTTGCATTCTTTTACAATGTCATGTGGGATGGGTCCTATTACTTAGCCATTTATTGTTTACCATATGCCATTGATAACCTGTGTATCAAAATGATTAGATGTTGGTTTAGGAAATGCTTAGCCATGCTTAGCTCAACTAGTACACAAAAAGGGATCACATTATTACATAGACTTTGTCTATTAGCATAGTTTTGGATTGGTGCCACCGCAATGGTGTTAGTTAATTAAAATACACTGAATGGTGGGCTGTGGGTGCATGGTTTTGCTGGTCGCACCCATGGCAGTTAAGGACCGGTTCACGGGAAACCCTGGGAGACTTACCGTGCTTACCGCAAGCGGGAGTGGGTAACTGCTTGATCTGAAGTATAGCTCGACCCTTTCCTAGGCACCGGTAGCGAGGGTGGGCGTGATGGAGTTGGGTCGGCCGAGGTGTTCGGTTGTCCAGCTGCCGGATTCACCGCGGCGCAAGAGGGGACCGCCCACTGCCTTTTGAGGGGTGGGGGTGAAACCTTAGCGTGGTGTGGATGGTTAGGGGAGGGTTACGTGGAGGGTCTTGTCACGATTTCCCCCTTTGCAGTATCATGGTGATACTTCGGGGCATGGCGACATGTGTGGAATCGTGTCTTGTGGGTACAGTTGTACACCTCTGGCTAGAGTAAAACTATTCGAATAGCCGTGCCCGCGGTTATGGGCGATCAACCAGATTCACCGTGATTAGTCTCACCCCTAGTTTAGCTTAATGAACTGGTGTAGTTCAGGTGGTTGGTTGGGCCTGTTGCAACGTGGTGTAGCGTTGGACAGTGATTGGTTAATATTGATTAATTACTACAGCTGTTTTACTGCTTTCAACTACTGTTTTGAAATGCCTGCTTTATGCAAAAGAACCCCTAGCTTCCTTTGGTTATATCCTGCATCATACCTCCTCTTCCGGTATGACTTGATGAGTACAGTGGGTAGTACTCAGTCTTGCTCTCTTTTCCCCCACACCAGAGTTGAAGTTCTTCTCAGTTGGAGCCGTCTCAGAGAGGTTGGTTTCGTCGCTGCAGTCAAGGTTTGCCTGTGGAGTGGAGTCGCCCGCTGCTGAAGTCAAGCTTCCCGGTTTAGCTCGCTTTTATCTTTCCCGCTGCATTTGTAATCTTTTATATTTTTGTAAGACGTGGGTCTGTATGTCAACAATTATCGTTTGTGTACCCTGGCTGGTCCTGGACAGGGGTTTAATGCACATTCAGCTTAGAAATTCTGGTTCGAGAATTTCTGGGTGTGACAGATTATACATCTCATATCCATGCAATGAATCACAAAATTATACATCTCAATCAATCACAAATTATCAGAAAAAAAAAAGAAAAGAGGCCGGCCGGCAGACGAGAGGGCACGACCGCTGCCGCGCGTGACACCTTTGGCCGCCCGCCATGGCCGCCGCCGGGCGCGGCCCCGCCAGCTGCCGCCGCCCGCCATGGCCGCCGCCGCCGGCCACCGGATGGGAAGTGAGGGGGAGGAGAGGTGAGGAGGAAGGCGAGGAGGGGGAGGAGTTAGATCTGTGAAGAGGAAGGGGAAGGGATTTGTGAAGTGTAGGAGAGGATAAGGGATAGGGATTATATACTACATATTAAATTTTAGTCCCAGTTGGTAAAACTAACCGGGACTAAAGATCAATATAATTTTTAGTCCCGGTTAGTATTATCAACCGGGACTATAAAGATGATCTTTAGTCCCACTAAAGATCCTCGGCCCCCTGACAGACTACTGACACGGGATGAACCGGGAGTAAAGATGATCTTTAATCCCGGTTGGTGATCATAAAATAGCTGTGGTGTTTTTAACCGGGACTAAAGATCATTTTTAGTTCCAGTTTTTATTGCAACCGGGACTATTAATAGACTAGGCCCATCTCGGAAGTGTCTCCCTCCACCTCCACGAATTAACACTAAACCCTAGATCTATTTTCTCTATAAGTGTCTATGTGCACCCTCTAGAACATTTGGGTTTTGTTTAGTTGAATTTTGCCAAGTGCCATTCACCTTTTCTCTAATCCTCGCTCGATTAGTCGGCGACTATAGATTCAGAGCTCCCAATAGTTGGTGTGTTGATTTGTCGGGTCGATTAGATCTACCACTTCAATCAGAACTATTTCTTCGTGCTTCATCACCTATTCGTAATTTAGATTGCATCTTATCTTGTTCCTGCAGTGTTCTCTCATTTGCATTGCTGAGATCATCAACCACGTGTCATGGTTGGTATGACATCGTTTGTGGTGTAGCGATTGCACGACGTTCTAGACTTGTTCTGGTTGGTAGCCACATTGCAAATGTTGTACTCGATCAAAGCAAGAATTATCCTCTGACCAGAAGATCAGGCCACGAGAGAGAGCTTCATCAAACTACCTCCGTCCCTAAGTAAGTGTTGTTATGGGTTTTCGTATCATGTTTCACTGTTCATCTTATTTTAAAAAATAATATGATTAGTATTTTTATTGTTATTACATAATAGAACATAAATATATTATTTTATGTATGACTAAATATTAGAAGAAATTTATAAATTTTTTAAATAAAACGGACGGTTAAACATTAGGAAAATATTTTTTTTCTATTTCTTTTGTTCGATCCCCGCTCCCAATGAACCCCATCCCTTGGCAGGCAGTCAGGTCGGCCGGCAGGTTAGGTGCATCGCATCGTCCCAAGACCTGAATAGCGGTGGCGGTGGAGAGATATCGCTCACATCAATCACCACCACCTGGCCATGCTGCCGGCAGGCAGTCCTCCCACGTGGCACTTGTATCGACGTGTGGGCCCCAACCCAACACCCAACGGAGCCTCTCGGACCATATCATCTTCCTACCGGCTTCCTCTCATGTGCTCCGCTCCGTTCACACCAGCAGAAAAGTCTCTCTGCCCACGTGTCAAAGCACCGGTGGATGCCACCGTTTGCGGCGAGGCCTTATATCAGAAGGCGAGCGATACCTACACACCGCAGGATCCAATCCACTTGCATTTCAGCTCAGGAAGCCTCTGCTACTTTGCTTGGCCTGTACAGTAATACAGATAAAGACCTGCAGTTCTTTGGTCTCTTTAGTGAGGACTGAGGAGTTTGGTTGGAGATTGTTGAGGAGATGGGCATCGTCGACGTTGTCTCCGAGTTCTGCTCCGTGCCGAGGACTCGCCGACACCTCAAGAAGAGGAAACAATTCCAGGTAATACTGAACATGTTAATCCATTAATCGCATCTCCCTCTTCTGTCGATCTCTGTATATCTGTCTTCCAGTCGAATTTGTACCATGATAGTACTAGTTGACAGTTGTGTTGTTGGAGTGGAAAAAACTTATGCCTATATCCTCTTCTTGTTTCAGACAGTGGAGATGAAGGTGCGGATAGACTGCGAAGGCTGTGAAAGGAAGATCAAGAAGGCCCTTGAGGACATGAAAGGTGCTTAATCATATTTTTGCTGCTGCTTCTTCTTTCACACGCTCTGAAAAGCAAAACAAGGGCTCCTTTAGCTTTTGTTCTTTGTTGTGGAAATGATTGACGAATCTGTGCATGTGCGCAGGGGTGAGCTCGGTGGAGGTGACGGCGAAGCAGAACAAGGTGACGGTGACGGGGTACGTGGACGCCGGGAAGGTGATGCGGCGCGTGGCGTACAAGACCGGGAAGCGGGTGGAGCCATGGCCATACGTGCCGTACGACACGGTGGCGCACCCCTACGCACCGGGCGCCTACGACAAGAAGGCCCCCGCGGGGTACGTGCGCAACGTGGTGTCCGACCCCTCCGCCGCACCGCTCGCCCGCGCCTCCTCCACCGAGGTCCGCTACACCGCTGCCTTCAGCGACGAGAACCCCAACGCCTGCTCCGTCATGTAGCTAGCTGTGTGTCCCCGGGACGACGACGAAGCAGCCTAGCAGGGTGTTTTTGTTGCCCCTTGCAGCTGTAATAATATTCTGTGTGTCCAGATTCGCCATCCCTCAAAAATCTTTCATAGTATTATAGAAGGGAGGAAGTAGTAATTTTTCCAGCTGTAGTAATGTTCTTTGCTTTAGATAGGGTGTTGTGTTACTATTGGACTCTCTTTTGCTTGTGCTTTTGGTTTCTGATGTAAAATACTCCATCATGTTCTTGTTTGGTGAGATGAATCTTCAAATCTGCAAAGTTGCAGATCGGTTGTTTGAGCTTAGCATGATTGATTGGGGTGGGTGGGGGAGACGTGTGTATATCGTACTGTATATTCGAGTTTTGGGTGGGCTCACAAGGTCGGCAGCGCCGAAAGGTTTTTTTTTTTATCCGAGGCGCTGATTGCGACGTTCTGAACTGTAGCCCGATGCTGGTGTGGCATTATTTTGGTGGTTGGATGGTCAGCCGATAATTCTAAACTTTGAATCAAAGTTTAGTTTAGTTATTTTTCATTACATCAATATGTCATATACACATATTAGTTATATCATCTTTAATTTTAACCAAAATCTAAACTTTGCGCTGAACTAAACACAGCCAAGGTGTACTATACGCCAAGTACGCGCTATATATTGCTATTAATATTTTAAATATTTAAATTTTAAACATATATTAAATACATAGGTTTTTCAATTTTATTAAATTAATATAAGTAAACTTTGTTTTAACGAAAGTTATATGTAAACTTTATTTTGAATTCATAAGGACACAACAATTTTATTTATCTATAGTTTTAAAAATCAGGATTAGTATCTATATTGTTGTCGAAATGACAATAACTTCACGTCGAAGGACGTGGTTCTCTCAATGAAATGATTGGATGGTAAAAGCAATGTATTAATGATGAAATTTTTTTGGATCCCCTATTACATAGCCCTAAAGTTTTGTGTGAGCCTTCTTGGGCCGCAACACCTCCTAGCCCTTTTGTTGAAGACGAGCCCCATTGGGCGAACCCCTTCTGCTTCGCGCCATGGCTTCACCCAACAGAGAGACTTGATGACGAACCTTATGGCTTCCATTCTTCGACTTCGCCTTACAGCTTCATCCTATGGCTTCACCTCCAAGCGACCCCTTGTGATTTTAGTCGGCGCTTTGCTAATCTGGTGGTTTCGGCAGATTTGGTCGAAGGCCCTCGTGATATGCCTCCAGCAAGCCCCTCATGGGCAAGAGCGAGTAGGGAGCTTTGGGCGAGACCGTGCAAATATGTGGTATGGCATGAGGTGCCCCCTTTCGGCCGATGTTCCTGCCAAAACCTATGTACACCTGCAGAAGCTAACCCTTGTTATTTCATGAGTTCTCTCAAACGTTTCCATGTTGTTTTTCGACCTTCTATCCTTTTCGGACGTGAGTTAGGTCACTTCTTCTTTTCTTTAAACTCGGGTTTTGGGTCGCGTTTTTCCTGTTCATGTGGCCTTTTACTGTTCGGCCCATCCTAACAGGAGTTACCATTGTGTCCATCCCTGGGTGCCACGTGGTGGGCTGCTATTGGCCGGAAGGCGAACCGTCGCATGACTAGGGCTATATAGTCCCCCCGTGGGTCGCTTTCACTTTTACCCCATCTATTTTTACTTCCCCCGGCTGCGTTCTTGCTCTCGCTTTCACCTTTTCTTTTTCGGCCTTGTAGTCTTCGCTAGCTCTGACTTTCATTTTTCGCCATTCCATCATGGCTCCGCGCAAGCCTGCTCCAGCCGCAGCGACCGGACCGGACCCCTGCAAGATTGGCGAAGACTGCACCGGCTTCCTCGGCACTTCGCTGTTCAACAAGGCGGATCTGGCGAAGCTCGTCGCGTCAAGTACAGTGGTTGAAAAGCAAGCCTTCTTCGCTGGCGATGCAGTGGTTCATCGCCCCGTTGATGGCTGGACCGTTGTCTTCGCCGCCTTCTTTGATGCAGGTCTTCGCTTCCCATGCGACGTCCTGCTCCCCAAGGTCCTTCAACTTTTCCAAGTGGAGCTTCCTCAACTGAGTCCCTCAGTCCTAGTTCGGATCGCGATCTTCGACTGGATTTGCCAAACCGCGGGGTTCGTGCCATAAACTGATCGGTTCGGCGCTATCTTCTTCGCCACCGTTCACTCAAAGATGGTGGTCACTCCGGTTGGGACAAAGAAAACCGTCTTTGGGAGTGTGAACTTCAATGTTCGCGCTGTATGCTCCGATTTGTGGCCAGTGAATGCCTCCATGCCAAAGTGGGAGCGGCATTGGATGGAGAGGTGGTTCTACCACACGAATCCCTATGGAGCTAAGACAGACGCGACGAAGGCAATCCGATAGGGCCGGCTAGTGATCTCCCCTAACCGGAAGCTGAAGGTGGCGATTGATGGGACGATCGAGTCCCGTTTCACCCTTTTGCGGAGAACCGCCCATCGGTTGAGCTGCTGTGATTTCGTGGAGGAGTTTTGCATGTTGGCAGATCACCGTAAATGAGGATGAACGGGTTCTCGACTTGCCTCGCCTTGTTTTGCCAGGAGGCGTTAATCGTAAGTTTTTGGGCCAATTCCCTATATGCCCATGTAATTTCACCTAATCCCTTCTACGCCCCTGAAATTTGTTTGATCTCTTATATACCCCTGAGTTTTTTATTTGGATCCCTTACATACCCACTCCGTTAGTTGACCATTAGTTTGACCGTTAGTTATTGTAGAAATTATTTTATTGTCCTTGGTATATTGTTAAAAGCTAGAAATGTTTTATGTGTAAATTATTTGAGTTGTGAAAACCAATAAGGAATAAATTACTAAATATTTGTTATGAATTTTTAAAAATAAAACATTATTTCATTAAAATAAAAAAGATTTATCGTAAAAAAAGGTTCTGCATAAAATTTGAAAATTACTTTTCTACAAATATTTAGTGAAAAAAGATTCGTTGTGAAAAAACAAAGGGGATGTAATTAGTTTATCACAAATTAGAAAACAAATTTAAAATTTTTAAATAAATTTCAGATCAAATTTGACAAATTTCGTATATCTTCCCAAAAATTTAAACCTAAATAACATTTAGTTTTTGCTCTTAATTTTCTAGCGAAACTAATGTATGGATTTAATCATAATTTTTAAAAAATAAAAAATAATAACTTTTATTTTTTAAGTTGGGCATTAAATGATTATATTGCTTTTATTTTGTATAAGTTAATTTTTTTCATATGAAAATTTATTGGGTAGGTACCACATATGTATAGGATGGATAATATAGTCATTTTAAAATATTTAGCGGTCAACTAATGGTCAACTAATGGAGATGGGTATAGAGGAGATCAAAATGAAAACTCAGGGGTATATAAGGGATGATGTCAAATTCAGGGGTATTGAAGGGATTGAGTAAATTTTCAGGGGTATTTAGGGAATTTTCTATAAGTTTTTCTAATTTGCTAACTCTTTATTTATCTCATACCCTTTTGTTCTTTCTTTTTTTTTTTGCCTCTCTTGTTTTTTTGCCTTTTTGCGCAGTTCTCACCCTAACCCAGGCCGAAAATGAGGCCCGAACTCTGATCGGGGACCTCACCATTCATGAGTATAGCTGTCACGCCCTAAAAATCCTAAATATATAAATTGTTGTTTAATTGGAATTATTAGAATTTATTTTAAAAGCCTACAAGTTAAACTCTAATAATCTAGGAAAATTTTCAACATAAAAATGAGCTAGATAAAATTTTATTAAATACTTTGCTTGTTCCTCTATTTTCTAGATTTTTCTGGGAATTATTTGAGCAAGGGAAGTATTTTTAATAATTGAAACAACATTTCACAAATTATTTTAATTAAAAAGTTCAAAAACCCCTCCCTAAGCCGTTGGGCCGAATTCGGCCCAACATTCCTCTCTCTTCCGCACGCCGGAGCCGGCCCAAGGCCGCCCGAGTCGGCTCAAGCCGAGCCGCCCGCCCCTCCTCTCATGGGACACCGACATGTGGGGCCCACATGTCGGGCCCTTCTCCTACCTCCGGCCGGCCGGCCTTGCTAGCTCGAGCCGCCCCTTTTCCCCTCCAAATCCGCACCCAATCCGGCCCTTTTTCTTCCGATTGTTTGAGGAGTTTTTATCCTCTCATCCTCCTCTATCTTTACCCCCAAAAATCGGAGCAAATCGTTGAGTATCTTGCCCGAATCGAACTCGTTTCCGAGTTTATCTCCAAAACCGAGTTTTTGATTTCCCGAGTCGATTTTCTTGCGGGAGGAGTCCGATCTCTTCAATCCAAGGCTATAAATAGGACCCCCTAGTCCTTCTTTTTCGTTTGCCCCCTCTCCCGTCCTCTCCCGTGACCCGTAGAGCCGTCGCCGCGTGAAACCATCCGCCGCCGCCGCTGGCCGAACTCCGGTTGCGCCGCCACGCCGCCTCCGTCGTCGCCGTCGCTTGCCGTCGCCGCCGTTGGTTTCGCCAAGAGGTGGAGAAGCTCGGCCGCCACCTCTCCTTCGCCGCCGGCCGCCGTAGCCCGTCCCCACCGGCCAACCCGAGCCGCCGCCGTCGCCTCCTCGTCGCCGGCCGTCGTCGGTCGTCGTTTGGCACGAGGGTGAGTATCGTTGGGTTCGTCTCGTCGTCCTCTACGTGTACATGTCCTCCAAAATCCCGGCCAATCACCCTAGCTCCGGCGAGGTCGCCATCCGAGCCGGCCGCCATTGATGACGTCATCATGACATCATCATCTTCCCCTTTTCCAGTTTTTTTCTAATAGATTAAATCTTCGGAAAATCATAACTAAATAACCGTAGATCCGTTTCAGGTGGTTCAAGTTGCTAAATTTTTCTAAAATCAAGATCTACATGTTAAAAATATCCACATGTACTGTTTATGCTTGTTTTTGTATTGTTTATTTGGTTTTTATTAGTCTTTTTCTTCGTTTTGCGTGTTAGCTTGTCGTTTCCATCGTTGCGAAGGTTCGTGAGTGCGCCGGAAGTATTCAAGAAGATTAATTGAAGACCGATTATTGCAAGGCAAGTCACACAGATCCCAAATAACCCTTTGAGCATGTTGAACCCGTTTAAAGCTATTATTTTATTTCAACTATGCATTATTTTCGAATGTCATTGGGTGGTGAACCTTTCCCCGTTAATTAATGGCCTAAGATGACTTTATTTTCCTATGGGTTATAATTTGAGTAGCATGAACCTTATATATTGGATTGGTTCAGCTAAATGCTATATGTATGTGTGCTTAGCTATGCTTAGAAACATTAGCTAACTAAAGGGGATAATTATAAACTATATTATATTATTTTAATTATGGTTATATTTAATGGTCGATCACGATGGTTAATCGTGTGATGTTAATTAATTGATAAATAAAATCTGGTTAAGGTGGGTTGTGAGCATATGGTTTTGATGGTTGTGCTCATGACAATTAAGGACTGGTTCGCGAGCTACTGTTGTGAAACATTTATCGTGCCAACCACAAGCCAGCGTGGGCAACGGCTTTATCTTTTGTATAGCATGATTCATCATAGTGTGCCAGACTGTGAAGCGGCAAGAAGTCCGTGGGGGTCGCTGGGGAGTCCATTGCCTCTGGTTTTGAGGGGGAGATTATGATCCAGGAACGGTGCACTGTTTTGAGTTGTGTTGTGCAAAGGGTACTGTCACGATTTCCCCCTTTGCAATGCCGTGGTGGTATTTCGGGGCATGGCAACATGTGTGGAATCGTGTCTTGTGGGTACAGTGGTACACCTCTGGCCAGAGTAAAACTATTCGAATAGCCGTGCCCGCGGTTATGGGCGAGTTGAGCAATGTTTTTCGTGATTAGTCTCACACCCCTCACAATAATTATGGATGTTATAACTGGTAATAATTTGCTTAGCTCCTGGTTTGGAGTTAGAACTGTACAGCCGGGTATGGTTGTTCAGGATGGTTGGGCCTGTGCAGCATGGGTGTGTTGCTCAGTGTTGATTAAAATTTCTGATTAATTACTCCACTGTTTTACTTCTCTTAAATGTTTTGCTAAATGCTGCTTTTGCAAATGAGCCTATATTATGCCATCATTTGGTATCCTTGTGCACTTGCATATTTGCTGTGTGGTTTGTTGAGTATGTCATATGCTCATTCTTGCAATAATCATCAAACCTCAGTTGAAGATAAAGGATCCAGAAGGAGAAGACGTTTGGCTTATACCCCAGTTGAGCTGCCTGTGGGAGTGGAGCTGAAGTCATCGCTAGATCGTTATTCCGCTGCTGTTTTCTTTTCTTTTGTAAGTATGTAACGTTATTATTAAGATGGATTTGTATATTAAATTGTCAGTTTGTGTACCTCGGCTGATTCCTGGACGAGGATTTTATGCACAAATTAGTTCGGAAATTACTACAGAATTTCCGGGCGTGACAATAGCCAGCTCCTGACGCGTCAAGTCACCGGTCGGGCAAATCGGGTTTACAATGGCTGCCCCTAGCGCGCCCTGGCGACGCGCTCCAACATGCCGGGGCTGAGGACGACGGCGAGGTCCTCGAACCACTAGGTGCGGCTGGTGCACCGCACGCTGAGGCAGCTGCTCTTGGTGTCGCACGAGAACCGGAACACCGAGCTCTCCGGCGAGGAAGCTCGTCAGGGTGGCGTCCCCTGGGGTGATGGCCACGTGGGACACCAGCGCGCCGATGACCTGGTCGAACATCCCTGTAGCGTCCACCATCGGGTGCAGCTAGCCGCTGGCACTACCTGACTATGTCCACCACGCTCTGCCACGACCACTGCGGCATCTCATCGAGAGCCTTCTCCGTCATCTTAACCAGGCTCGGCGGTGTCGACACCTCCGCCATCGCCGCTATTGCTGCCACCATGTCCATGAACTCAACCGTGCACCGCCCATAAAATCCCCCAAGATGCGGCGCTGGAGGAGAGGATAGAGAGAGAAGAGAGATAGGAGAGTTGAAATGTGGGTCCAAGAGCATTTTTGATATTTAATGTGATTTCTCTCTCCTCTTCAACCGAAAATTATTATTTTAACTAATGATGTGTTCATCAGCAAATATCCACGATCCATTTTTTAAGAGTGTCTTCCGCTAAAAGTCACTTCGGACAGTGTCCTACAGCTAAAACCATAAAGTCATGATCTCCTGTAACAAAATTTGTCAAAAAATTAGCACAAATGAAAAAAAACTAACACAGAGGTTAACTAACTGTAATAGCAAAAAGGAAAGAAAAACACGTTACAATTTTTTTTTAACTAGGGCTGGAAAGCCCCCATTTCCATTACTAAAAATGAAACGACAAGTACAACAGGGTTCAGAAGTAAAAAAACAAAGGAAAAGGCTAAACACAACCCCCTTACTGGAGCAGCACCCTGACAAGAGAGACTAACAGTTTCTGCAGGGCAAGCTTTACAGAGATCACCAGATCACAGACAACAAGATGTAAAGGGCAGACCTAACCGAGTAGTACCATAGCAAAGCAAAGAACTCAGCAACACTAAACTCCTGAACTTCTTTATTCCAAACGTCTTGCATAGATTCTCCACCCAAATCGGGAACTGAAGACTTCACTTGCCACTTGTCTTGCCAGCTTGGCTCCCAACATTAAGCTTCTTTGTCTTGCCTCCGATTTCTGCAAGTTAGCCCAATTTTCAATAAAATGACATGTAAGATATATCAGCTCAATTGGATCATTGGGCCATTTTTTATCAAAACACACTTTGTTTCTGGACTTCCAAATGGCCCATAATACAGCTGCCACCCCCCACCATCACAAGTTGCTTAGAGTGTTTGTCAAAATTAGATAACCATTATCCAAACATATGGTTTTTATCTCTAGCAGGTGTTATATTCAAGGCACACAACATCACATTCCAGATCAATTTAGCAACAGAGCATTCAAAAAATAAATGCTGTATGGACTCCTCCTTATCACAGAATTGGCACAATTTATCACATTTTCTCCAACCTCTCTTAAAAAGGTTATCTTTAGTAAGGATTCTGTTTTTTAACACCAGCCATAGGAAAATCTTGATTTTCAGAGGTATTTTAAACTTCCAGATTTTTTTTATATGGGAATGCCACTTGCTCCCTTTTAAGAGCTTTAATAAAAGGATTTGACAGTGAAGCAACCATGCTTTTCTAGATTCCACCACATTTTATCTTTTATTCCTTCTTGCAAATTCAGAAGCATCCATCTCTGTTTAATCCAGTCTCTAAGTTTATCTCCATGCAAAGTCCTTCTGAATTTGATAATCTCCCATCCTTTCTCCTTCAGTTTTGCAAGGGTGATATGTCTAGTATGGGTAATGTTGTATAAAGCAAGGAGCTGCAAATTCAGAGGTCTGCCACCATACCAATTATCCTCCCAAAACAGATTGTTTTTGCCATCTCCAACCTAAGTTGAACAAAATTTCAGGAATTCTTCCTGACTTCCATCAAACCATGCTAGAAATGAAAATTACCCGCTTTATAAGTCACCCATGACAAAGTTTTTTGACTCAAATATTTTTCCCTGAGAATGGAAATTATAGAAACGAGCGCTCGTCAATTCGTCATTGATAAATCATAGAATGTCACATATGTATGTTGGTATGAATAATCTAGAGTTGAGCTCCTAATTGGCACAGTCCGTAAAAAGACATTCGGCCTTCATGGTAACTATAGTCCTCTTAATTTTTATATGTGTACACCGATCTCAAGTGAGGCCAAAAGATGGACAGCGCTTGAAATGAAGAACGAAATTACCGGTGGGCGGTGGTACAATCAAGGAATGATCTGCGGAAAAATAAAAACGGCCACCACTTTACTGTTCTCGATTACCGGCATATGTAGTACACCGATCTTAAGCGAGGCCAAAAGGTGGACAGCGCTTGAAATGAAGAACGAAATTACCGGTGGTACAATCAAGGAATGATCTGCGGAAAAATAAAAACGGCCACCACCTACTGTTCAAGATTTAATTTATATGTATATCATGATTTGGGATAGATGCAATTGGATGGTCAGAAAACAATCTTCACTAAAACATGGCTACCCAATAAGCGTTTAACAACTGTCCATAGCTGCTCTTAGGCACGAAACAATCTACCTGCCCAAGGTTTGCCCAGCAAAAAGATTTCAATAGTTGAAATGGGTAAACGACCGCCTAAAGCTCTCTTTCAGTGAAATAAACACAGGTGTTCGAAAATAAGTGTTGAGATCACTGAAGATGAAGTGCCTTTTCACTGGAACATAATGACCATGAGCATATTCCACCGAGGGAATTGAACCACACTAGCACACCTTTCGTTTTGCATCTAATTGTTAAGTTTGCAACTGTTCCCACATTTGCTATCCAGCTCGCCTAATGGGGTCTTGGAAGTATTGGAGAGAGATGAGAAGTGCTTCCTGAAAACGTTTGCTTCTGTCAAAATAGGAACAAATCCCTGAAAAATAATGAACTTTCCAAGCTTTCAAGTGTCAAGTACCTCCGTTCTTATTGTTCTGCTCCCTTGACTGGGACATGTATTCAAATAGGTATTAAATACATCATCTACACCTTTACCCTGCAGAAGGAAATGTGTCTTCAATAACAATACTAACAGTAAAACAACCATCATTTACTAAAGTATGAGCAGTTAGCCACACTAACACAGTAATCAAGTTATGTATATCATAAACTAGGAAGTTTATAGAACAAATCTCAGCTGACCCATTACCGAGAGTTAAAAAACACAAGACATTGCAAGTGAGAATGGACTAGATGATGTAGGTTGGGCAGTTGGTCTATGGTGGATTGGTGGTCTAGTAGGTGCAATTTGGCGTGGCTTTCCTAGTTGGTATGAAGCCAGCAGCCTATATTCTCATTCTCATAAAGGCACACAGGAAAATACTAGCAACTAAACCACTACTATGCAGAGCTGATCTCCCTGGCTTCTTTTCATATTTTTGTTGTACTCCAATCTGAAGTTACAAAATTTTCCATTAGTTCCTTTCACCCCTTGTTTCATCAGTTCTCAAGTTCGTGTTTTAGTTAGAGAACTTGGACTCTGCCACATCTCTTAACTTCGCTTCAGAATCTGAACAGCCAGTATTGTTGGTCTGTGACCATTCAGTTTTATTCGTTTATTCAGCTTTTCATTAGTACTTAACAAAGAATACCAAATATTCAAAGACAATACCGGTCCAACTGAGTTGACTGCTGTATTTTGATAATTTCAGCCTGGTTTGTCTAGTGTCAGAAATAACAACATAGGTACCAGTTTTTTGTTAGTACTAACAAAATACGTATTAGAAACTATCATATGCAATGATACCTTCAAATTTCTATCTTCTTCAATGCATTCTTCTAGACCAGCCAATCCACCAAATGCAATTAAAAGGTGCCTGTACAATGAAGCGCTCATAAATGACAAGATAGCCATACACCCACAATGGTGGTCCTGTGTATTTTTCAGTTTATGATGAAGAATAGAGTGGATTCTACTTTGCCTCTCATACACTATCATCTGAGTCTAGAAATCAACCCTGAATAATAAAAACGGACATCTTCCACCCCTCAACCACCAAAACCAGTTTAAAATATCCCCTTAAGAGCAATACAATGTGGTTATAACCAAGGTTCTAAATAGAAGTGATAGTTACAACAATGGTGGTAGTGGGTTACTACCATTACCAAGACTAGGTAGTGCTACGAAATAGCGCATTGGAACAAAGCAGCTGCAATAGCAGCTGGATAGCAACCTCATAAGCAAAATAGCAGCTGCTATTGCATTGCACACTGAAGTCTGAATTATGGAGCTTAAATTTGTGTTGTGTTAACTCTTGTTGATTACTTGCTTTGTTTTTTTAAATAGAGTAAAGACCTAATTAACCATATCTCTATTTTCTTTTTCATACCAAGGCTCCAAAAGCAGCTACCCTAATGAGGGTTAAAAAAAAAAAGCAGCTACCCAAATAACTCGACACTGGTAAATTCAGGCCAGAGGCAAATTATGTAAACTATATAAAATGATGAACCAGCTGTTCAACAATCAAATCACTGGAACCATCAAAATAAGTTAACCAGTAACATCACCAAGTCAATAGCTGGTCTGGGTTCAAGAACTATCTGACTGGATCACATATATTGTTGTATGGCCTATTTTATAGTAAGAGTCTGCAAAACACTCCCTATAACAAAAAAGAAATGGACATGTTTAATGCAAAAAAAAAAAAAATCACATTCAGTTTGTATATGTTCATTTTTTATTCATAGAAAAAAATCCTGAGACACTGGCAAAAAATAAATAAATAGTCATCATAAATTATGTCATAGCATCTAGAAACAAAATTTTGCATTCAGCAGACCAAACAACTATGGAAAAAACTGAATTGAATTCTGAAGGTAGTCCAAGGGAAGTGAAAACAATATACCTAAAGGAAGGTAAGATCAGCTCAGATGAACTAATGATCTTTCCATGCTCTGAAGTACCAATGATATAATCATATCCTTCCTAAAAATATGAAAATAATTAGTAATAAGTACTCTTTACCCTGTACTACATGTGATTGAGCTAAAGAAAATTGTACCTTGTATGGTGAATCACTGAAAACTCCACCCAAATTTGAAGCATACCGGACCTTATAGCCCCAATACAATTCCATTTCATCCCTGGGAGAGGAAGGGGAAACAATTTTCCTTTTGCAAGCTAGATGAAAAGTAAATGACAATATGTCATTAATCAATATCAAAATAACAGACAAAATTCAAGTTGTAGAAGGCAAGAGCTAAAATAACTGAATGGGGATATAAGTATGCCTAGTGAACAGGAATGATAAAATGAAGCGACGCATTACGAAGTGAATCCAAAGAGCACACATGTGAACTGAAAATAGTCACTCTGTTTTTATGTTACATAATTAAAAAATCCATCCATTTTGCTCTGCAGAACAAGCAGAATGGTTTACTTGAAATCTGTAGTAACGCATGGGCACTATATTATTCATATGAGAAATAAAATCCTGATAGTTGTTGCAGATTTTAACCAGTCATTGCAAATGGTTAGGAAGGATACTTCAGGGTATATGGATTAAAGAACATATACCGAGTAATTCAGATACTAAAAAGTTCTAGACGAAGAAAAATCAATAGAGCCACATCTGAAGCCTGGGTCAAGTGAATAAATCATTTACCTGTTGTAATGTCACGATTGGTACCCATGGCAATAGTTACTCTCTTCCCTGGTTCTAGCATTTGCTCAACCAGAACATTCTGTGATGAAAGACAATTATAGTAAGTTTATTGGATGAGAACGTACATTATCTAATACATGATCCACAAAGGTGTATATGATACAATATACATTACAGAATCTGAGAATCAAGTTTATCATGTTGAGTACAAAAAGATTTGCTCAGAGGCAGACATGCAACTATCAATATAAAGTTGCTAGACTTGCCAAAGCACTCTGGCCAGGCAGCTATCAGCATTGAAGCTATCCCATGCTGATTTTCATGTTTCACCATTCTCTTACCCTTGCCCCATATGCAGTTATGGGTAATGGCCATGGCATGCCTCTTTGGTGCAAAGATATCTAGCTGACATTTTGACAGCTTACAGTTATGCTATGCTATCCTTGCCAAAAAAAAAAAAAAAAAAAAAAAAAAAAAAAAAAAAAGCAGTATGCCCTTTGTTTTGGCCCAGCTTCAGGTATATTGAAAGCAGCCTTACTGGGAGTATAGAAAATTCACCAAGCAAACCTATATTACAGAAAAAAAAAAAGAAGTATTTTGTTGGAATAACAAACTATGAACTCGTTTGTTATGTGTTTGGTATGACACCACCCACTAGCTTAACTTTTTTTCATTCAATTAGGCTAAGTTTACAGGGGTTAATTCCTCGGAGTAAAGGAAAGATAAAGATAGTTGGGTTTATGAAAAGGAAAGGGTTTGGTTTTTTGGAAAGGAAGGAAAGTGTTTGCTCTTTCCGGAAGTAAGAGAAGGACTACCTTGGGTAAGGTAGGACTTCTCGGAGTAAGGGAAAGCAAGGTGATACGTGTTCCTAGCAGTAGTTAAGCGCTATTGTTGCTAGGGAGCCCATGTATGGGGGTATGCGCGTGGAGGAAAACGCCCAGAAGGGCAATTTTTGAAGCCCTACGGCACTTTAGGGTAGGTTTAGGTACTCTGATACCTAAACCAGAATTTAAATGCATTTAAACGCATTTCTATTAGTGAATTAATTATTCGATTCATGCACTGGGTTAGTTTGTTTGGACAATAACCATATTATAACCCCTTTGTTTATAACTGAACAGATATTTTATAGTCTAAGCCGTCAGGTTACAACTGAACGGATATTTAATTACACAAGCCACTTGAGCTAAAAAATAGTATGTGAAAAAAATTTGGATACCTTACTCAATCCGACATCAACAAATGTCCCCATTGAACGATCCCCATCCAATGTTACGCCTGTCTAAATTCATTCTACTGTAAGCATTCTGTTGAATCACACATGAAAAATGTGGTAACAAAAACTTTTCCGATACCAGCATTAAAATAGGAATGAAAAAACAGTCGAAACAAATCCAATTATGCTATTAGTACTCATGTTCCTTTTTTTAGTTGAGAAGCACAAAAGGGTGCCATTCTAAATTGAAGCCTTAACAAAGTTGAGCATGTGGGATAGGCAGTCCTCCCCCAAGAAGTAATTCTACATTAACACAACCAACAGCTCAGCCATTCAGTAACACAGCAGGATCAAAGAGCGTATAAAGTTTATTTTTCCTTTTAGCATGAACTACGAGAATTGATAAAGTCCAAAGCAAATGAATTGCATATTGTGCATGTAATGAATTTCTGAAAGCTACGAAGAACAGATAAAACAACTGCACAATTCATGGGCATACTATATAATATTTATAAAAGGTGCAGACATGGCCACGCATGACAGAATTATTAAACATGATGAATCATTCGAAATACCAAACACTGCATGTGCTTATGCATAGTTCAATTGATGTGCTCATATACATATAGTTTCATTCAAAGATGTCCCTAACTAGTTAAATATGAAATTTACAACTTCTCCTAGTTTTCTTTTTGACCGAAAAACAGTAGCAGATCTCTAGAACTTGTCCTAAATTAACAAGAGACCGAGAGGTAAGTCGCATAGCTCCTATAAATCTAGGAAGACAAACTTCATATTTTTCTAGTTAGGTAAAAAAGTTAAATTACATTGGCCATGTGATATTTACTTTGATTTCTCTCTCCTATTTCAATCCGATATACTAAAATAATGGTAGGAGTGTATTATAGCAAAGAGAAAATTCGCTCTATGCACAGAAAAAATGGCAGTACCAAAAATAGCACAAAACATTCCCCCATTCGACCAGAGGCACACGCCACTAGTTTTTCTTCAATTTGTAGCGCTTCCGTCACATTTTCCGTCCAAGTGATTGGTTAGCCAAACATGAACTTGGGCTCCTCGGCTAATTGAACTTGTCCACGGTGGTGGCTGTGGTGGGGTGGCCAGCAGCGGAGGAGGGGGTGCGGCCGATGGAGAAGGTGTTTGCATCGCTGATGAGGTCTTCACATAGGTGTGGCTTATGGAGATGGAGAACACAGAGAGGTGCAGCTTGTCGTCGACGCGTAGCAGTTCCCTGTTTCTCTCTAGAAAAAAAATCAGAGAGGAAGGGGCCAGTGGTCATCACGCACAGCAGGAATTGAGTAAGAAGATGAGACAGAGATGTGAAGAATTCAGTGCTCGGCAATGCAAATCAATGGTGTCCTATGGAATTTAATTTTTGCAAATCAATGATTGAACAGGACACAACAAACTAGTTCATCATGGGGTTCGGGGATGGGAAGGAGTCGTTAGCCGCCACTGTCATCAACGACCTTGATCCCATGTGCCGTCGCACGGCGCAAACTGCCAGCCGCCGCATGCTTGCCTGCTCTCCCAGCCAAACGAGCATGAACTGATGAAGAACAGGAATGGTCCAACCCAACCAATCACGTGTGAATACAGAGAGGACTAAGGGTAAATTTGTCATTTTCTGTCCCTATTCACATGGAAACACTCGTCTTGCACTGCAGTTTTGGTGGAAGTGCTATGGATGGAAGAAAAACGAGTGGCCTGTGCTACCAGTCGAAAGCGGAAATTTTAGTTCCTTGTTTCTGTGCTACAGATCGAATTCTCTATAGCAAATAGCCAGAAAACTAGAGTACCCATGGCCGTGACATGATTTTAGTTCCCCACACAACAAATGCCGACTTCGCCAACCATATACGATAAAAGCAATTCAACGTGGATACCAATAGCACTGCAAGAAGAGAGAGATCACCTTCACGAAATTCAGACCACTCATGCTTGCGCAAATGGTGTGGTGCATCGAGTGGGGGCAGCAACCCCTGCATACAAGAAGCGACACGGATCAATCAGCACCTCCAGGAAACCCAACATGCCGATGATGCAATCATGTTCTTCAGCGGTCTCACCACAAACTTCAAGTTGTTGTGCATCGGGAAAAGGCGTCGGCGCAGGTATTGTGGAGTCTCCAGATACTGTAGGATGCGAACAAGGAAGCGCGCGCCACTCTCTACGTCATCGCCGCTGTTCTCCACTGAGGAATTGCTGTCGAAGACCACAACCTCGTCGATGCGGAAGACGGTCGCCGCGCGGGCGATTTGTCCTGCCAGCTGAAACAGGGTAGGAGCTAGAGCCGCAAGAACTAGCAAGGGAAGGTGAGAAAGGATGGATACTGACGAGGGTGGCGAGCTCGAGGGACTGGGCGTTGTCGATGATGGATCCGGCGACGGCGATGCTCACCGTGGTCTTCCGATTCGGAACCGCCACGTCATCTCCGTTCTTCTTCTGTTGCAGCTGCTTCTTCCTCTTCTTGTCGTGGACGATTTCTTCGTCAGCCGCTGAAGCCTCTGCGGCTCCGCAGTCGTCCTTTCGCTTCTTTTTCTTCTCCTTCTTGCACCGGGCCTTCTTGGAGGCCGCTGCTGCCTCGGCGTCTCCGGAGTTCATTGCGGCGGCGGCGGCGGCGGCGGAGGCGTAGGGGGGACTAACACGAGAACACCTCCAGGTTCCAGGAGTCGAGAGGCCGACGAAAGTAGGGTAGTGCGTAAGGGCCCCTCATGTGCCGGCCTTCGGCCAGCGAAGGGGTTTGCGTGGAGTCGGACTGTTTTCGGCCCAGCGATAAGTCTACTTTATGTCCCTCAGTACCGTTTGAGTTTCATTGTATCTCTCAACCGTAAAAGGTGGAGAAGTAGAAATAGAGGCTCATTCAGATTGGTCGCCCGATCGAATTTGAGAAATATTGGGCGCTGACGTCAGCGTCCGATTTACGTGCAGAAACTACTTTAAATTGATTTTTCTCTTAAATTACTTATCCAAATCATAATCCGATTGCACCATTAAATTCGTTGCAATTAAATTTTCAAAACAAGACCACACATGGATATATTCCGACGAAAAAAAATTAGCTTATTATTGAATTATTTTTAAATATTGCACAATGTTCCACTAGGTATATCGGAATTGTTTCACTAAGTAGATCGAAAATGTTTCACTCGTTTAAATCGGGTGTTGTTTCACCTTATGTAAAAACAATGTTTCAACAAATAGCGAAAGAATGTTTCAGTTCGCTGCAACATTAGATCTATACATAGTGAAACATTGTGAGTATACTAGGTGAAACATTTTTCGGTGGAAAAAAAATATACCAAATTCCCTTAATAGGGGGTTTCCAAAATATATGGATTTTTTTGTTGCAATGGAATGTTTCGTTCACTGCAACATTAGATCTATACATAGTGAAACATTGTAAGTACACTAGGTGAAACATTTTTGATGGAACAAAAAATAAACTAAATTCCCTTAATAGAGAGTTTCTAAAATATGTGGGTTTTTTTTGTTGCAAAAGAATATTTTAATTCACTGCAACATTAGATCTATACATAGTGAAACATTGTGAGTACATTAGGTGAAACATCTTTTGTGAAAAAATGGGAGGGAGAAGTGGGTGGGCCCACCAGGTGATCACGTGGGGGAGCGCCCGATCCGGCTCACCCTGCGCGGGTCACCCGGGGTGAATCATTATCGAGTATAAATTGTCCCTCATTTTTTATTAAAACCAGTACAAATCGATAATATGGAATAAGTTCACACTGCATCCCTTATGTTTGCGCATTGAGTTTAAATCACATCCTTAAACCACAATACTGGAAATCTTAAACCTCCATATTACAAAACCGGGTTAAATAAGATCCTAAGACGGTACGGATGATTGTTTTGGCTGACATGGCATCCTAGCTAGAAAAAGAAAATAAAAAATAATATGTGGGGCTCATATGTCGGAGGCTTTCTTCTTCCTCCAATTCTCCCCTCTCTTCCCAATCTCACTCCACAACGGCAACCGCTGGGGAAGGAGGGGCGGCTGAAGAAAAGAGACAAGGCGATGGTGGCGTTCGAGCCAACCAAAGGTCGCTCTCGTGGCGCAAACAGCTCGGGCTCACCTTGGTTGCTGAGCTCCACCTCGTTGGGGAGGCCACACCGCCCGCTGGGTACGACGCAACGACATGGCGGACCAACGCCAAAGATTTCACGGCAACAGAGGGGATGAGGTGGTGGATGACGATGGTGACCTCAAGGCTATGGGAGGGGGGGGGGGAGAGAAAGCCTGAGCAGGCAGTGGGGATGAGGAGGTGAAGGATGATAGCGAGCTCGAGGTTGCAGCAGTGACACGGGGAGAAGGGGGGTGAGGGGTGGAGGAGGGAGCTCGAGTGAGCCGGAGGGAACAAGGTGGTGGGACGATGTGGGCGAGCTCGAGACGTGGGTGAGCTTGAGGCCACAACAGTGGCTAGGGGAGCCTGAGCAAGCGGCATGGCCTCCCCATGCGAGGCGGAGCTTGGTGACCAGTCTGGCCGCCGCCATTGCCTTATCTCCTCTCTCCTGCCACTATGACCGCCTCTCCCCTCGCTGCCATCAGCCATTGCCGCGAAGAGAGATCGGGAAGAGAAGGGAGGTGTGGAAAGAGATGGGAATAGAGGAGAGAATGATTGGAGGAAGAAGAAAACCCGTGACATGTCAACCCCCACATGTTTTCAATTTTTTTTTTGGATACCACGTCAACCAAAACAACCATCCATAAGCTTCTTTCATATCGTGACTGAAAACCTACAATTTTTCGAGCGCATGAAATCTAGCAAACAACACAGGAATTTAACAAAGGGAGAGATTTGCACGTGTTTGTGTACGATAGTATGTTTTATTGTGCCACTTCCGTGTAATCGGAAAAAAAAAAGAAACTGATTAAGCTT